GTCTCAGCTACTTGGGAGGCTGAGGCAAGAGAATCGCTTAAGCCCAAGAGTTGGAGGTTGCTGTAAGCTGTGACGCCACGGCATTCTACGGAGGGCGACAAAGTGAGACTCTGTCTCAAAAAAAAAAAAAAAAAAATCCTAAGGAATTGAAACCCTTAGGATTTTCCCCATTGCTCCAGCCCTTGCTCACAGCGCGCAACCTCTGGGTACTTGTCATCCCTCCCCAGCAACGCTGGGGAGCCCTGAGCGCTGCTTCCCTGAACTATGGGCGGTTGCAGGCGGGGCGGCCCTACCCAAGCTAACGCCCACCTTCCCCTCACCAGCCCTAGGGAGTAATCGCCGCTCGTTGCCCCGCCACCCTGCCAATCGCCGCTCTCCGACAACGGCGCCCTCAGCTCACCCAAACTTTCGGGCCCGGCGGGGACACCTCCATCCGTCCGCTTCCCTATGCCCAACCAGTCCCCACCCACTCTCGCTGCACTTCCTCAGCGATTGCAGGGCGGAAACGCAGCTCTCCTCCGGGAAACCCCGCCCTCCCTGGCTCCGTGCTCCTCCCCGCCGCCCTCCCCTAGCTCTAAAGCCGCTGCGGGTTGCGCCCCCTGGTCTCCGGAGATCCAGGACCCAGCCTCCCACATCCTCTGGTGTCCTGAATCCGGCCACCTCTTCCACATTCTCTGTGGGATCCCTTCCTTCCCTACATCCTTCCACATACTCTGTATCGGTCCCTGGCGTCCTCCACTCCACCCCCGTCCTCTCTGTTTTCCTCTTGAACCTACGCACGCAACCTACTCTCAGCCGGAACTGCCAGCTCTTCTGCGGGCCCCTTGCCCTAGCATCTGTACTCCCCCAGGGGTCCTCTGCGTCCTGTTAGCACCTCCGCACTCCTGCATCCGTGGCCCGCTCTCTCCGCACTCCCGCACCCCTTCCCGTTCTCCACTTTAGGACAAAATGGACAAAGATGCCTTCCCTGGAGTTGCTTAGCTTATGTTATTGGGGATGGAAGAGGGTCGGGACAAGGAGACCAGGTAGCAATGCCTATGGTAAACCCATAAGGCGCACAGTGTATTAGAAGCGGGTACGTGAGGCCGGGCGCGGTGGCTCATGCCTGTTAATCTAGTACTCTTGGAGGCCGAGGCGGTTGGATTTGCCTGAGCTCACAGGTTCCAGACGCGCCTGAACCAGAATGAGACTCGTTTAAAAAATAGCCAGGCGTTGTGGCAGACGCCTGTGGTCCTAGCTACTCTGGAGGCTGAGACAAGAGAACCGGTTGAACCTAAGAGTTTGAGGTTGCTGTGAGCTCTGACACCACAGCGCTCTACTGACAAAGTGAGATTCTGTTTCAAAAAAAAAAAAAAGAAGAAGAAGAAAAAGAGGGTAGTTGCTACGGGGAAAATAAAACAGGGAGGAGGAGGAGCTGCCTCTCAGTTGAAGTTTTTGGGGGTGGGCAGCTAGGAGCATGTAATTTTCTATTCTTCTCATCGCTGGCCACCTGCAGGGTCAATCCTGAGATCTCCCGGCCCAATCACTCGCCTCCCAGCTCTGCAGAAGGCAACTTAGAGCCTACGCCGGCTTTTAAAGAGCCAGGTAGGCGTCCAGTGTGGGTGGCGAGCGGGACCCGGACTGCTGGGTCGGAACCGTTCTCCCGGCTGCATAGGTAGCCGCGTCATAAAGTCGGGGCGCGCCCCCTCGCGGCCCCAGTGAGCAGCACGCAGTGTCTCCGCAAGTGTAGAGCTCAGGTCGGGACCGCGACCGCCAGATCAGCTGGCCAAGGAAAAATGCAATCTCCAGGAGAAAAGTACGCACACAAAGGCGAAGCGTAGAAATATGCACACAAAGGCGAAGCATAGAATACGTTATCGTTATTTTCTTCTTAATGATAATACCAAAAAAGAAAAACAAAGGAGATGGCTGGGGGAGATAGGCAGCAAAATGAACTGGGTGTTGACAAAGATGCGGGTGGGTGGAATGTAAGTTGCTTCATCCTTTCTCTGAATACTTTGCCACTTCTAGGAAAATTCAAAGCTATTTATAGGATTGTTTACAAACCAGAAACGACCGGGATGTGTCCAGTAATTGGCATTGGTGGGTATATTATCTCCATCCTTGCAGTGACATTATGCAATCAGTAAGGGGGTACTGAGGAGCCTTAATGTGATGGGAAGACATCTGTGGTACACTAAGGAAAAACATGTATGTTATCACCCCAATTTTCTTTTTTATTTTTTTTTGAGACAGAGCCTCAAGCTGTCCCCCTGGGTAGAGTGCCGTGGCATTACAGCTCACAGCAACCTCCAACTCCTGGGCTCAGGCGAGTCTCCTGCCTCCGCCTCCCAAGTAGCTGGGACCACAGGCGCCCGCCACAGCGCCCGGCTATTTTTTGGTTGCAGCCGTCACTGTTGTTTGGCGGGTCGGGCTGGGGATTGGAACCCGCCACCTTAGGTGTACGTGGTTGGCGCCTTAGCCGGTTGAGCTATAGGCGCCGAGCCTATCACCCCAATTTTCTGAAAATAAGTACATGGGGGCTCAGTGGCTCACGCCTGTAATTCTAGAACTCTGGGAGGCTGAGGTGGGTGGACTGCCAGAGCTCACAGGTTCCAGATTAGCCTGAGGCAGAGCCAGAGCCAGACCTTGTCTCTAAAAATAGCCAGATGTTCTGGTAGGTGCCTGTAGTCCCAGCTACTCAGGAGGCTGAGACAAGAGGATCGCTTGAGACTAAGAGTTTAAGGTTGCTGTGAGCTATGACGCCACAGCACTCTACCAAGGGCAACAAAGAGAGACTCTATCTCAAAAAGAAAATGCAAGCCCTACTTTTTTTATTGCAGCTTTTGGCCAGGGCCGGGTTTGAACCCACCACCTCTGGTATATGTGGCGGGCCGGCACCCTACTCCTTTGAGCTACATACACTGCCCAGGCCCTACTTTTTCTTTTTGAGACAGAGTCTCACTATGTCACCATTGGTAGAGGGCAGTGGTGTAGCTGACAGCAACCTCAAATTCCTGAGCTCAAGCGATTCTCTTACCTCAGCCTCCCAAGTAGCTAGGACTACTGGTGCCCACCACAACAGCTGGGTTCGAACCCACTAGCCCCGGTGCATGTGGCCGGCGCCCTACCCACTGAGCTATGGGCGCTGCCCTGCAGGCCCTAGTTTTAAAACATGATATTTCCTTGTGCCTGGAAGCAGATTTCAAATAATGAGAGCCATGTTGGGAAGTGACCAGAGATGAGAGTTAGCCTGCTCCGGGAGTGCAGGGAAGTAGGATCTATGTTTCCTTCTCTCCTCCTCGGGCAGGGGCAGCACCTAGGAGGAATGGGGAGGCACTCAAGTTCCCTCCGTCCCCAAACGCCCTGGAATGAACCTGTCGGAGAGGCGACTCTGCACTTTTGTCAGGCCCAGTCCTTCCTCAGGAACCATCATTCTCAGTGCCTGGAAACCATCAGTTTGGGAGGCTTCTTGGAGGAGGTGGAACTTGGGCCAGGGAAAGGTAGTAATCAGTGACTGAGGGTCACTCAGGCCCAGCAGGAGGGCCTGAGGCCTCCTGTGGTCAGACTCCTGGAGTGGAAAGAGTCTGGCTTCCCAGGGGCCCAGCATGGAGGTCCCACTACCCCATTTCAGTCCAAGAACAGCTGGAAGGGGAGGCCTCAGGGACTCCAGCTAGTGCCCAGACCAATGGCTGATGCCCAGCTTGAGGGACCCAGTTGAGGCCTGAGGGTCAGAGGTCCCAGGAGAGAGTTCAGGAGGGAGGCCTAGGAGTGGTGGGGCAGGTATGGGCCTCAAAGGACCCAGAATCCTGCAATGTTTAAAACCTGTCCATGATGGGATCTAGCATACAGCTTCTTTTATTCTGTTTTGAATTTTTTTCTTGCTTACAAAAGTAATTTATGCTTGATCTAAAAAAAAAAAAAAAGGTTGAAAATGAAAATCTGTTGAGGACAGGGCTCCAGAAGCTTTATGGTCAGAGTAGGGCCTACAGCCCAGGTGGCTGACCAGTGAGGGTGGATGCCCTGTGTTGTCAAGGTTCCGGGGATGTGCTGGATGCCATGGGATGGGCAGCGGTCTCCTCTCCTGGCTCCGAGGGAGGCCCCCCTGCTAACCTGCCAGCTTCTATTCCCTCAGCATCAGCATCTGGAAGAGAAGGGATGGATCAGGCTGGCATCCCAGTAAAAGGGAGGGGCTGTAGGGGGAAGGGCAGCACCTGACCCCCTGAAGGTCCTAAAGGCCAAACCCTGGGCCTCACTAGGCTTCCTCACCACAGGCTGGAGATGTTCCAGGGTCAGACCCTCTGCTGACATATACAAGTTAAGGGCCACTCAGGGATACTGCTCCCAAAGGCCAGTAGCCCAGGGCCACAGACGCTGTTAAAATCCTTTCCAGGAAACTTTAGTCCAAATCCGGGCTGAGCACTAGGAAGCCACTGCCATACACACAGCCTGGCCTGGGGACGAGTTGGGGATGTTTGTGAACTAAGGGATAGAGGGGCAAGGTGAGGCAAATAGACTGCCCAGGAGTATCTGCCAGGGAAGCTCTTGGAGCTGAGATGGGTCCTTGCCAAGCATGTCATCTGAAGAAGAGTCCCCTTGCTCCTGTTCTCACAAAATCATCCTGGGCCTGGAGTCTGGACAGATCCAAGTTAAGTGAGCAGAAGTCTCAGATGGGCTAGAAAGGATTCTCCCTCAAGATGGCTCTATCCCACTGAGCTCAGGGAAAAACAGGCCAGGGTTCCACCCTCTGCAGTGACCTTTGGTGGGCTCAGGGTAGGGATTCAGTCCCTTGGGGCCCTGCCTCCAAAAGGCCATGGAGATAGGGCAGTACCTGTGGCTCCAAATAGGGCGCCAGCCCCATATGCTGGAGGTGGCAGGTTCAAGCCCAGCCCCAGCCAAAAACTGCAAAAAAAAAGCCATGGGGATGGCACCTTCCACCCTTGGGCTATTGGAGGGAACCCAGAAGTATGTGGAAGCACTCGGAGCAGGACTGGCTGTTGGGGTACTATAGTGACAGGCGGGCATGCAGCAGAGAAGGCTCCTGGGATCCCTCTGAGTCCCTGTCATGGCCCCCACCTGGCCAGGGACCCCAGCAGGGGGATGGAGGCTGAGGGATCCTTAGGGTCCCCTGAGCCTGTCTAGGTCTCACCTAAGGAGAGCAGGGTCCAGGTGTCCTAGGGCCTTGGCCAAGGGGGAAGCTGAAGGGTTGTGACTCCCTCCAACCTTAGGTCATGTACCACTCAATTTCCATCACTGAGGCAGGGTCCCCTGCACTTCTCAGCTAACAGATGGAAACCCAAAGGTCCCCTCCCTCTCCTGTGATTGGCTGAGGATCCTGGGTGACCCCAAGGAGCCACCTGTTCAGAGGTAGGTAGCAACTATCAGGGTTTAATAGTCCCCTCTTCTCAGGGCATGGCAGACCCCACTTCCAGTTGAGAAAAAAACCCAGCTAATCTCCTTCCATCCACAGGGCACCCCTCGGAGGCCCCAGAAGGTGTGTTCAGGTTCCAGCACTCACACCAAGCCTGGTGGGGATTGGAGGTCTGCTTAAGGACTCACTTGGACTGTGACATAGAAACATATACAAAGACCATCTTTTCAACACGTAAATAAACACGAGAACAGACCCACACAAACATACCTGGGACACACAAACATACCTCCTAGGTAAATACATACACAAACAGGACCACAAATACCCAGAGATTGATATTGAGACACTTAGGTAGACAGACTCCAACATGCTCATAGAAATAATCTAGTGCATACACACAGGAGGTATCAGGACACACATGTGGCATCCAGGAAGCCTAGCATGTCTCTCCTTCAAGGCTGCCCAGCTCCAGGGAGGTCTAACTTCATAGAGTCCTGTCCTCCCAACCCCTGTCTGTCCTGTAGCTACCACTCCTGTGCCCATCCTAGCAGGTCATTTCCTTTGTACCCAGGCTCTTCACTCCCACAGAGTCCTGAGGCAGGACCCAGAGGTCCCAAGAACTTGCTGTTGGGAGAGCCTAAGGGGCCCTGTCCTCTGCAGGGGAGAGCATGCCAAGGCCCAGTCACCCAGGGAGAGCTGGGTGCAGAGAAAGGGGTGACCTGGCCCTGTTCCCACTCTTTGCTACCTACCTCCTCTTATCACCCCCAAGTCTGGCTCAAAAAAAGGTCCAGCCCCACAGCAGGAGCAGAGCCAAAGGTGATTGGGGGTAGTGGGAGAACAGGGCTAAGGCTGCCCAAGACTATTACCCCAAAGGTGGAGAGTAGGCTATGAACTTGCCTGATCACCTCCAGCCAGGCTGCAGCATGCCCTGCTGCCTCCCCCAAGGGACCTGGGAGGAGCTGGGAGCCCTGAGCTTTCAGTCCTGAGGGCTTCAGGAAGGGTGAGGCTTTGCCAGAAGAGGCAGGCAGGGTAGGGACAGTCCTGGAGAGCCCAGGTCAAGTTCATGACCTTTGTGCTCTCCTGGGAGAGGAGGCTTGTATGTCAGCAGTCTTGTTTTGCTCACCCTCTAGAGACCTCAGTGCCTAGCCTGCACACAGCTACTGCTCAGGAAACATGGATTTGGTGACTGAGTGATTGGATGAGTGAGTGAAGGTGTTTTCTAGAACATGTGTGATGAGGCAACCATAAAATGACCTTTAGAGAAGCCGGGGTCCGATGGTAGCAACCAGCATGGAGTGCCACCTGGTGACACGATGCTACCTCCCCGACACTGCTGCAGGCAGCTCATTTCAGAGGAGGGGACAGATACAGAGGCAAGGTTGCCTCAGAATCTTGGGACTGAGAGGGTCACACAGAGGGATGCTTGGGCCTGAAGCCCCTCTCCCTGCTTCCCACTCATGGTCAAAGGAAGCAGGCGAGAGGCAGCTCTAAAGGGTGCCACTGTCTGGGGGAGGGGCGTCCCGCGCGGGAGCCTCACCCTGGTCCAGCTTGCTGCGTTTCTGCTCAGGCTCCTGGGGGGCTGCCTCAATGGCCCGCTGGGCCTCGGGATGGGTCTTGAGGAGGGCCTTGGCAAGGGTGGCAGGGCCAGGCACCCCCAGGGACATGATGCAGTGCACGCCTTTGCGCTTGGCCCCTGCCACTTTGGCGCTGTCTTTGGAGGCTGTCAGCAGGACCAGTTTGGAGAACTTCCTGGGCTTCCTCGGGGCTGCTGGGATGACATCTGTGCCTGGCTTCGGGGATGGCTCTTGGCTGGCCTTCATGCTCTCGCCCTCCTGCTCACTGGCCTCTGGCAGGGGCATTCCAGGACTGATGGCCTGTCCCTCAGGCCACATTCAGTCCCTGGCAGATGGATTTCTCCTCCTCCCTGGCAATCCAGGGTTCCAGGGGCTCTCCGTCCTAAAGAGGCAAAATCCCAGTCAGTGGAGGAAACCCTTGGGCATGAGGCTGTAGAAATGGACCTGGAAGGAAGTTGGGGAAGATGAGGCTGTCTTGGTGCCCCCTGGGGCTGAGAGGCTGGGGATCTACCTGGTAGTACTGGGCCCCTGGGCTAGTCCTCTCCTGGCAGCTCTGGGTCACCTCCCCTGTGACTCAAAGCCTCACTTTCCCCATTTGGAAAATATGCATAATAAAGACAGAGAGGCTATCAGGGTGACTAATGCACTGATCCCATGAATAACGACCCATGGGGCCTCTAATGTGCTGAGCTCTTTGGAAGTGTTTCCATACACTTTTCCATCAGTCTTCCAGCCCCTGATACAGAAGTTAGCTATTCTTTTTTTTGTTTGTTTGATACAGTCTCATTCTGCCACTCTGGGTAGAGTGCCATCAAGTCATGGTAACTCATAGTACCTCAAACTCTTGGGCTTGAGCAATCCTTTTGCCTCAGTCTCCTAAGTAGCTGGGACTACAGGCGCCCACCATGACATCTAGCTAGTTTTTCTTTTTTTAGAAGGAATGGGAGTCTCACTCTTGCTCAGGCTGGTCTTGAACTCCTGAGCACAAGCAATCCATCCACCTCAGCCTCCCAAAGTGCTAGGATTACAGGTGTGAGCCACTTTGCCTGGCCAAGTTGGCTATTTTTATTGACCCAGTTTACAGATGGAGACACTGAGGCACGTCAAGGTGAACCAACACAGCCATGAAGTGGCAGAGCTAGGATGGATCCAGAGCTCATCCCTACATAGTATCTAGTGAACCTCATCTGTATCCATAGAAACTGGTGCCTCTGAGTACCTACAGTCCGAGACAAGCACTTAGGGGACATGAGCTCAGTTAGTTGCCCCTCCCAGAATGCCTGCTACCCTTCATCCTGTGGTCTAAGGGAGAGTGGGCCAGGAACCTGTCTGTACTGTACAGACCACAGCACTGAAGCCTGGCCCTGCCCCATCCCAGTCTGGAGGCCCACAGGCCACTAGAGATTTCTCAAGCCAAGAAAATCTGAACTGGAGCTGGACCCGCCCTAGCTGGGCAAAGACAAGGATGTGGAAATGTTGGAGAATCCCACTTGACTTCTGACCTGGAGAAGCAGAAAGGATGGGTTAGGTGGAGCTGGCAGGGGGCCAGCTGGCTTAGAGACCAGGGCCTGGGGGCTGCAGCATCAGTGTGGGATGACTTTTCTGTCTTTTAGGAGTGATTGGGTGGTGGGTGGATGGTAAGAGTCATTCACAGACTGTAATCCAGGCAGCTGTCATGCTTCTGGATCAGGACTTAGGCAGGACAAAGCCCACAGTTACCCACTTTTGCCCTTGGGCCTGTCTCCCCAACCTGGCTGTGAAGTTCTCATTGTTTCCTCTGACTCTTCCTCATACATTTGACTCCAAAGGCCACTGCCAAGCACCCCAACATGTTCCAAGACCCCACTGTCCAGGAAAGGAGCCAGGGGATGCAAGGTTGAGGGGGCCTGGGGTGCTTAGTCTCCTGACCACTGGACTAAACAGATACAAAGACCTTTTCAGATGTGAAGGCCCTACCCCAGGATCACTGTCTTTAGGGAGCAGGCACTCAAAGTAATGAGACCAACAAATCACCTGACCTTAGGGATTGCTATTATATTATCCCTTGGCCCCGACAAGAGTCAACCTCTATTCCTTCTGTGTGGGCCTCGCCAGCTCTGCCTGCTGGACCCATGAGGCTATTTGGAGGTGCTGTGGAGAGCCTGAGGACCAGCCATGGGATATTGACTGGCCTGGGTCAGTGCCATGCTCAGGCTGGTCTTAGGGATGGATGCTTAACAGGTATCCTGACCCAGTGTCCTCTCAGGGTCTCTAAGTATGTGCTGCCACCCCAGCACCCCTGGACTCTAAAAATGATGTGGCTTCCTGCCCACCCAGCATGCAAACTCCCACAAAGTGGTAGGGACAGTGGTAGTTGCCTCATTAGCTCCCTTGGGCTGCAGCTCCTTTGGGAGCCTGAGGCTGGCCTGGCAGAATCCTCTACTCACATAGGAACAAGAGTGACCTTAGGGGCACTGCCTCACCCTTTGTGGTCCCCACCCTGCTGCCAGGCCAACTCTTGAGTTGTAAAAAATGGCCCCAAAGTGACATTATGCCCCATCTCAAATTAAATGTTCAAATCCCAAAGTAAAGAATAGAATGAACCTGAACTACTGACAAATTCTAAAAAGAGAAAAGTCAAGAAAATAAAAGCTCATCGTGTATAATCCTCTAGACTTAAGACCCCTAGATAAAAGAGCCCACGTGGAGACTCCTGAGTTCCTCAGTTCTTTCCCCTTTCCAGAAGCTCTGGTGCTTATTACTTCTTCTGTATTCCTTCTTTCTTTCTTTTTTTTTTGGTTGCAGCCCTATTGTTGTTTGGCAGGTCCAGGCTGGATTCGAACCTGCCACCTTAGGTGTATGTGGCTGGCGCCTTAGCCACTTCAGCCACAGGTGCCGAGCCTCTGTATTCCTTTCTAACTTCTAATAAAAGTCCTATCTTACCACTGGAAAAAAAAAGAAAGAAAGAAAGAAAGAAAAGAAAACCTCATCAAATTTGAACAAATCCATAAATCCCTAAATCTATAAATTGTGCTGTGAGGATAATAAATTGGTCTTCAACTCTCTCTCCTGGCATACAATTCCTAAAATCCTTTACCAAATTCCAAAGTGATGTTTTTTTTTTTTGAGACAGAGC